GAAATTAGTTATATGCAAAACTCACTTTTACTATTTTGAGGTGAGTGATATTATTGATATGCTATTTAGAATACTATCTTCTTTGTTTTCTTGCACGTGAATATAAAGGTTTTTAAGTATGTATTTAGGAATCGAGACCTCTGTTTTCTTGTAATGCCTTAAGATTCTTAAGTAGGAATTCTGCTACAGGAATTGTGAAGTTATGGATAGAATACTGTTCTGTACTACAGGCATCATTAATTAGGATCCCAGATAAACTTGAAATTTGTAACCTATAGGATCTGGGTTGAAGGAAGGGCTGATTTTCAAATGATAGTTTTTGTGAAAAAAGTTTTTAAGCACTTAAAGCAGTTAAATTTGAAAATTAATAAGCTCACTATAAACCACTTTAGATATTTATTTAATAAAGTAGGTCTTCTAATAACATGTTTGTCGGTACTTCATTAATCTTGCTTAGTGTTAATTTAAAAATAAAGTTTGAAATGACAACACAATCTCTTTAGACTTATCACTGTTAAAATCATGTAATATAAACTGATCTGATCTATAGTTAAGTGACCATTCCCCACACCCTAAAACGCAGGTTTTGACTTACACTCACCATATAGATATTTATTCCAATACTCCAAATGCTAGTTGTAGCCAAGGACATCAAAGCATCTTCCCCATGTCCTGCCTCTTCCTGAGTAACTGGGTAGTTATTGAGATTGCCTCTCCTCCCTCCCTCCTTCCTCCCTCATTCCTGCCCTCTCCCAATGTGGATTTCATCCCATACCTCTGTATGCAATCTATTCTGTAAGCCTGGGACTGGTCCTTTAACTAAAGCCAGGGAAAGTTGGGGAATCTTCTGGCCTGCAGCTGCTGGGAGCTTTATGCCAGTGTACCGTCAATGTAAATCAGCCTCAATTTGCAGTAAGATTTTCTCTTGACCTTTTCTACATTTCAAAACTATTCAAACAGATCTTCTCCATCAGTTATAAACCAGTGATGTTTTAATCTAAGATCTGAGATATTGCTGCATCATCAAGTCATTAAAAGTCATGGTTTCCCTCCAAAGAGGTGGTCTTTTCTGGTAGATATATCTCAGAATCTCTGCAGAAGATAAAATGAACAGGAATTTTATTAGTTGAAGATAAAGATGGACTTGAACTCATCAGCAAACATCTTGGCAAGCTGTTCTAGGATGCCATCTGCAGATGTTAATTATCTAGTTTGAGTCCTCTAATAGCTCTTAACCTCCTCTTGACTCTGCCAAATGCTTTTTATTTTTCTTGTAGATTCTTTCTATTCCTCTTTGGGCAATACAAAGTCACAGGCAACATTGCTGATTCTTTTTCAAACATGTTATTTGTAAAAATATTAGTCTTTCATTCCTCCTTGTGGACATTTGTAGGACACGATCTTCCGCTCCATTTTGTTTTCCAAGAACTTCTCTTCAGTTCTTCCTATTTCTAGGACTGTGTAAATGAAACAACTCCATAAGAGTTGATAATAATACTGAAAAGCAGAGGGAATAATAGTCCCATGAAACTTGAGTCCTGAAATCACTCTCTATTTGGAGAAACTTGAACTCTAGAGGCTGCTTTTCTGCTTCATTATCTCTCTTGTCTGTTATCCAACGCAGTTGTTCTAAGACTTTTTGCTCATCAAGCTTCTTTCTCATTCCCATGTACTTGAAGATGATTTTGCTTTCTACCAAAAACAGTAGATCTGAGCTCACTCAAATTTTTTTCCCTAGCCTTAAACCAATATTCATATCCATTTTTATTTCGTTCCTGATTGCCAGGAAAGACATGTCTAAGACAGTCCCTGTAACAGTGCTCTGAATCCTCACCTCTTCTACCTACTTATGGGAGTGTTCCATCATTTATCGCAGCCTTACTGCTCTCTTCTCCTGGCTCCTTCCATTCTCCATTGGTCATTTCTCTCCCATCGTAAAAATTCTTTTCCTCAGTGCTGCTTCTCTCTTCAGCACAAAATGTTTTGAAAGAGTAATCTGTAGCTGCTGGCTCTATATATTCAGTTCCCATTCTTTGCAAGTCCAATTCAATTCTTACCTCCATTCCATGCCCTCTCTGAAACTGTTCTTGCATGGATCGCCAACGACTTCCCCATTGCCAATTGCAATGGTCACATTTCTGCCTTTGGTCTACCTTCTGAGGCAACTACATTTTTAATCTTTTATTCAGAGGAAAGTTCTAAGGAGTTTTAACTTTGATGTTCAGGGTTCAGTTGTGTTCATTTGATATTGTGAGGCTTCCTCTTATTTGGCTATGTAATTTCAGATTGCAAGAGACTTTATTTATTACTTTAAACAGTGGAATGAATCTCTATGTGGATAGTTACTATTCTGTGGTACAAACTGCCAAATTTGTATGGCGACTCTTACAGAACCACATAGTTTTCTTACTCTCCCACTTTCTATTAAACCAAAACAAAATAATTTATTAAAACTAGTTAATAATAGATTTGTGCAAAAATATTTCCTAGCTAGCTCATTTTTTGCTCACTGATGACCTTAGATTTTGAACATCATCACTACACAGAATTGCCTATTAGATGTTGTAATAACTATACCAGAGTGAGAGGCAACTCCTGGTGCCTCACTGGGTCCTGACACAAAATTAATTTCACAAGCAGCCCTAGGAGATCATATGCAGCGCCAACCAGAGAGCTGGAAACATGACCCATCTTATTTATATACCAGCTGGTTGGCTTGAAAGGCTTAATTACAAGCAAAAATGCTTACGTCTGGATTCCATTGTAGTTCCTGTAAAACTGTAAAGCAGTTATTCTTTTATATAATTCCTAAAGGGAGAAAAACAGTATGAACATTTTAAAAGTCAAGTTCAATTTACTTGTTTCCCAAACATCAGTTTCACTTTTCTGAATTAAAAACTGACATGTTTAAATAGTTCATACTGTTTCTTTCCTCGTAGCCCCTCTGCAGTGGTCCCGCAGCGTTGCTTCCAGTTTTCATGGATCACTGATGCAGTAAGCAAGGAGTCACCCTGTGTCCATTTGGTTCTAGGGTTCAGGAGAGGGCTATGGTTTAGTAGGGTTTTTGGATTGCTATTGAAGATCTGGCCATGAATCTCAGAGACCACTGGGAATCTGCTCTTGACCCTGTTCCTTATCCTCTGTGTATTTAAGTTATCTGTGCTAACGGAATGGAATGGCTTATTGTGTTTCTGTTGGTGTCTGTAACTGATAATATTTTAACTCTTCTTCACAGAGGGACTTGTCGGGACACAAGAATATTGTGGGTTACATTGATTCTAGTATCAACAATGTGAGTAGTGGTGATGTATGGGAAGTGCTCATTCTGATGGACTTCTGTAGGGGTGAGTACATGAATCATATATTAAGCTCTCATTTCAGTAGCACTTGAATTGTTTCAGTTATTACACTGTACTCGAATGTATGTTTTCTGGTTTTAAAGATGGGAAAACTAAGAGGCTAAAAGATACAGAGTCTGCTGTCACCTCTTGGTTATTCTGATAATGGCAAGGATCAGTGGTACAAACAGTTCAAAGTGGCGGATAATGCAAAACTCCATATTTTTTTAGGTTTAGGAAGGGTGCTTGTATATGAATGAGAATGTATCAGAATGAGAATGAATGTGTTCTTTGTGGTGCTTTAAAACAATAATGAAGGCACATAATAAAGGCCCAACTCCAGATGGACTACAGAAACAATTCAGCTTCCCCACTCCCTCTCTCATGTGTTCTATTCTCCACCCATACCATCGTCCTTGTTTTGGGATAAAAGAATCCTTTTCCTGTAATGGAAATGACCTTCCTCCCCTTGCTTGAGTGCTATAATTGCCAGGAAGGCTACATTCAAACTATGCTGCTCTTAACAGTGGAGTTTAGTAGTTGAAAGCATGGAGTTTCAAGCAGTATTTATCTTGGGAAATCCAGACTATAACATGATTTTATTCAGCGTTGACAGCATTTCATACAACCATTGTTTGGAGGTGTGACTTTTTTTGTTTAAGCAGCTGCCACTTACAAGCTTGGGTCACTGTCTCACTGCTAAGTAGTCACCCTTCCACTAACATTTTCCTTGCCTTAAGATACTGTCCATAAACTAAATATGTTGCTTATCCCAAAAATGTGATGTCAACTGGTAGTTTCAGCCTTTACTATATAATACCTGTTAACCTGATTTTTAAAAATACTACCAAATTTGAACCTGACAGTTTGTTTCCTCCTGCCCAATCCTTTTTGGACAGTAAAATGTTTAGAGATGAGGCAGTAGGAGCATTCAGGGATCTGGCTAATTTTGTAAATGAAGCCGTTAGGCTTTTGGTCCTGGAGATTAAATGTTGGAATAGCATTTCTACAGACTAGGTGGCAAGTAGTAAAGCCAGGAAGACAGGCTGTTCCTGAAGTACAGATGATAAAAGCTGTCTTCTTTCCTTCTCCTAAGGTTTATTGTGCAATTGGATTCTTAAAGATACGGCAAGTTGAACCTGTGATCTTGTTTCATACACAGCAGGGACAGTATAACCAGACAACTAGAGCAGGACCATATTATCAGCTCTATTACTAATCTTGAAGCCATAATGAGGGCAGCTCATGTCTGGGGTGCATAATGGAATAAGCAAACTGTTTTTTGATTTTTAATCCTCACCCGAGGATATTTTTTCCATTGATTTTTCTAGAGAGAGTGGAAGAGAGGGAGAGGTGGGGGAGAGAGAGAGAGAGAGAGAAACATTGATTGGTTGCCTCCTGCTCGCATCCCGACTAGGGCCGGGGATCGATCTGCAACCGAGGTATGTACCCTTGGCCAGGAATCAAACCTGTGACCCTTCTGTCCATGGGCCTATGCCCTAACCAATGAGCAACCAGCTAGGGCAGGATTGTTTTTGACACATTGGAGAAAGCACTGGATTGTTAAAAAAACACACACACTAATTCCAGGGTGTGAATCAAGACAGCTGGGTTTTAGTCCTGGCTCAACTAGTCTGTTGAGCCAAGTAATCATGTCTGTTACCTTGGTCCAGGTTGCTGCTTTGTGGAGAGTCATTTATTCTCGTGGGTAAGAGATGAGTCTGAATGTTTATAACCTCTCTTTTCCTCTGCCCCCCCTTAGGAGGCCAGGTGGTCAACCTGATGAACCAACGCCTGCAAACAGGCTTTACCGAGAACGAAGTGCTCCAGATATTTTGTGACACCTGTGAGGCTGTTGCTCGCCTCCATCAGTGCAAAACTCCTATTATTCACCGTGACCTGAAGGTAACAGACCACCTATTTAATTAAGTGTTTGTTCTTACGGAGTATTTTCTATCTGACCCAGGGATGGGGTAGACACGAGGGGATATGAGAGAAGTGTAAGGCATGGTTCCAGATTCTGAGCTTTCGTTCTTCTTGGGGAGAGAAAATGCAAAGGAAGAAAAGACACAACAGTACAGTACTGGTATCAGTTTTATTAAGTCGTTTTCAGAAATTCTTCATAATCATCAAATGCTTGAGCACACATTGTTTTTATTTTTCCTGATACATTGCCAGATTCACTTTTCCAGGGTCATGAAAAGTTATATCTAATTTAAATAGTTTATAAACAATGATGCTTGGTCTTTAAAGTCTATTTCCTATTTTGCAAAGTCTATTAATTTATTACTTTAAAAATGTGTCCTGCTAATTACCATCTGCTTGCACCAGGCCTTTCACGTTGTAGTCGATTCACAGTGTTCGTTGAATAGAGTTGGCTAGCGGTTATGGAGCACCAGCTGTGTGCCACACTCTACTCGACGCTTTATGTGCACTGTCCCTTTGGAGGAAGACATTCTTCTTCACGCTTTATAGTTGAGGCAGCTCGGGAGCAAAGAGGTTATATGACTTGCCTAAGGTCACATAACTAGGAACAGTACCAGAGTTTGAATACAATTCTTCTGATTCTAAATTGCAGCTTCTTTTTATTATATCCATGTTTTGAGAAATGTGCTTCATGGCTAATAACTTACATCAGCATTCCCTAGTGCGATTGTTAAGTGCAGGCTGCTGGGTTCCACACTGGATCTATTGGGCTGTAATTTTGGTAGCAGTGTCAGGGAGGCCCAGGAATTCATATCTTAATAAGCACCTCATGTGGTTTATAATCCGAAGTATACTCTTTTGTATGTTCAGCAGTATACTGGCATTAATGTTTGGGCTCTTTTTAAAAAATTGAGACATAATTCACATATCATAAAACTCACTCTTTTAAAGTGCACAATTCAATAAATAAATAAATAAAGTGTGCAATCCAGTGGCTTTTAGTACATTTACAAGGCTGTGCAATTGTCCTCTCTAATTGCAGAACATTTCATCACCCCAGAAAGAAATCCTGTATCCATTAGCAATCACTCTTCATTTCCTGGTCCTCTAACCCTGGGTAACCACAAATCTATTTTCTATTGCCTGTTCTGGACATTTCATGTGAATGGACTCATGCAGTATATGACCTCTTATGTCTGACTTCTTTCACCTAGAGTAATGTTTTCAAGGTTCCTCTATGTTGGAGCATGTATCAGTGCTTCTTTCCTTTTCAAGGAAGAATACTTCATCATGTGGATATACCACATTTTGCTTATTCATGGATCAGTTGAGACATTTGAATTGTTTCTACTTTGGCTATTATGACTATAGCTACGATGAACAACCATGTGCTAGTTTTTATGTAGGTATATGTTTTTAGTGCTGTTGGGTGTATAGCTAGGTGTTGAATTGCTAGGTCATATGGTAAATATGTTTAACTTTTTGACAAATTGCCAAACTGTTTTCCACAGTGGCTGCACTATTTTACATTCCATTAGCAATATATGAGGGTTCTAATTTCTCCATATCCTCACTAATATTTGTTATTGTCCTTTTTTTATTTTAGCCATTCGTAGTGGGTGTGAAATGGTACATACATAATTGGCATTTCTATACTAAAAAAGTTAGCTTTCAGGAAGATACCATACATATATACCTCCAAAGCCTTAGATAGCCTTCTCCATGTACCTCTGCCCACAGTCAGCCCTTTTTCTGAATAGAAAAATAATACATCTCAGTAAATATTATGAGCATGGCATAGTATGAGTACATAATTCTGTACAGATATAATATGGTTCCTACTGTCAAGATGTTTAAAGTATTGGTGAGAGGACATAAATGAAATATTTAGACTTGAAACAGAAATAGGTGAAATACAGAACTTTATAGAACAAAGTGATGAATAGATGAAAATCAAGTGGCTTAATATATGATCAGATAGTGAGATCAGGGAAATGGTGGTTGGAATCTTCTAGAAAAGTGGGATTTTGAAGTACTCGTGGGATATGGGTGGTCACAGAGAGGATGAAGGACATTTCAGGCAGAGAGTGGAGCCTGAGGTCTACCTAGAGAAGGGAACCACAAGGCTGTGAGATGGAGAGGTACACGGCAGGTTGCACACCAAGCTAGACGCCACACTCTGAGTGTGTATTGATATTTTACTGATGAGTGAAATTCTTAGACCTGTTAGCATATCTTTTGAAATAAATAGTACCAATGTTTTAGGAGTTGTCTTTTGTTCCTGCTACCTACCTTGGAGAAGAGTTTGTGAAGTGCAAAAAATAGGGGAGAAGCGTGGCTGGGCAGCACCTACCCTGGTCTGTGAGTGTGGGAGCCCCAGCCTCTCTGGAGCCCCATTCTCTCCTTGTGTCAAATGAGGTTCAATTTCACATCGGAACTTGAATTTTGTAGCACTTGTGGTGTGACTTGTACCGAATTGTAAGTGCTGTGAGAGATGAACATGGCAGCGTCCTTCATATTGCCGGATGCAAAGGACACTTCTCAGTTCCTCTTGTTCTCCTCCTGTGGCCTTTGACTCCTTTGTGACTGTCTCCTCCCTTGCCCTCTGTGAAATAGTGCTCTACCCGCTCCTCAGGCTGTTGGTTACTCCTATAAACACTTAGCCATGAGCCTCGGTTCCCTCCTTTCTGCAGTGGAGACAACAGTGCCAGCTTTGTGAGGGTTGTAAGGTTAATGAGAGCATGCATGTCACCTTCCAGGCACATCCCTTGCACAGTAAGCCCGGAGAGGGTACGGAGATGAGAGCAAGGGAAGAGGGCCCTCGAGCACCCTTTAGAGAGTGCTATTCCCATATTCTTAAACAATATCTTCCTTTATTTTGACTTTGTAAACATTTATTGGATTAAATGAGGCCAACATGATAATTATTTTCCACCCACAAATAACCTACCCACTTTGCATATTCCCAGCATATTAATGCCCTGTTCACAGTGCTGCTGTGAAGCGGTAGGTAAGTGTCAGTGATGGGAACTTAAGGTACACAGAGTAGGTCAGTGCTTGGGCTCAGGCAGCAAGAGCCCCAGACTCTTCCTTCAGTGCACTGAGCAGCCCATGCGAAGTCTCAGCAGAAGAACATGGAGCCAACGGGAATCTGAGGGTGAGGCCTCGGCCTGATGGAGAGGCTGCCACACTCGTTCCCAGCCTGCAGCGTTGGGCTGTGTAGATGCGCTTTAATTAGTATTGAAGACCATCATGCTTGCTGCCAGGTGGCCAGTAGTGGTTCAGGGAACTTTGTTTCCCTTTCTCCTCTACCTGGGAAATAGGGAACGTAAATAGGGCCCATGGGAGAATTCCCGATTTTGATTGTTCTTGAGGAGTCCTTTTGCTGTTGATTTTAGTCGTTGACTCCTGGTTGTTTTGATTGAAGCTTTCTACAACTCCCCAAATCTTACACTTGGTGCCATCTAAATGCTTTCATTAGCATGTTAGATTTTGTTGATTCCTACTAGTATGCGCGTGGTGGGCAGTCACCTTTGCCTGCCACACTGCCAGCTTCCTATGGCATGAGTGAAGTCCCCATATACCTCTTGTTTGCCTTGGCTGTCTTGTTTGCCCTGGCTGTGTCATTTATCACAAAGCCTGGGCTACTCTGAGCTCTTTGTCACCGCGGAACCAGCCACTGCAGACCCAGTGGTAGCCAGAGCCAAGAAGTTCATTATTCTCCTGCTGCCCAAGGGAAGTGCTGGTTGCTGGTCTTCTGGTTGCTTCTCTGCGAGCAGGATTTCCATTTGGTGAACAGATACCACTGTGAATAAAAGTTAAAGGGACACAGGGAAGAGCACAGGCCAGGATAGCTGTGGACCCCCTGCTTGAGTCAGTACCACCCTGTGTGGGGCTCTGCTTGTTCACATGCAGAACTGAGAAAACCCCTTGTTCCGCCTGGTCTTTCTTTCGCATTACACATGGGAAATGCACTGAAATTGGTTCTGGTCCTTAAGCAGCTTACCTTCTAAAAATAACTGAAACAGAAGTTCTGTTTTTTATTGAAGATCCTTCCTCAAATATGTTATTTTAACATTTTAATTATTTCCCCCATTTTAAAATTTTTATTTCTCTGAGTAAAGATAGAGGTTATTATTATAGATCATGGGATCATAAGCCTGGGAAGGTCCCCTAAGCCAGTCCTCTCCTTTGACCAGTCAGGTGACCTCTGACCAGAAAGGTTGTGACCTGCACAGTTAATTCCGTGACCAAATCGGAACAGAGGCTGAGGTATTTTCACTCCCATTTTGGATTTTGTTTGTTTGGTTTTGCTTTACTGTACTATGGTGTTTTTCTCAGCACTTAAGAAAGGGGGAAAAGGATTAAGACTAAATGCATCTAGATTAAAAAGTCATGAATTCTTGTCAGAAAAGAGATTTGGATCTCATGAAGTACAATAGGCTGAAGATTCTTGTCCTATTTTTAGAATCACAGGCTTAGAAATCTGCATTCATCTAATCCTCCAGAATTTCCAGTGATAATAAATCCTGTGACTGAAATGCCTGAATGCCATATCTGTTTGCAATAATGTCAAGATGAAGAGGTCAGTAGGAGGTGGCTTTCCAGGCATTTTGGCTAAAGCTGTAAGCAGAGTTTGGGAGTGATGACTTCAATAACACTCTTAAGCCAGTGGGTTGGGAAGTAAGGTCAGTGTATTAAACTCAGATAGCTGAATGACTTGAGGATTGTGAGCAATGATAACCAATGTTAGGCTTACATCCTAAAAGGGACATTGCCAAAAACAAAGCCACTATAAAAATTCTCCCAAGCTTTCAGAAGATGAGTGTCAATATCCAATTGGTTCTCTTCCTTCTTAATCTCATTTAATCCCTCCTGGCCCTAGTCTAGACCTGGCTCTATTCACCTCAGACCTGGACAATTGCACCTCACTGTCTCCTTTCTTTTTCTCCCTTCTCTATCACCATGCCAACTTTCCTAACACACTTCATCTGCTGCTGAAATGTTGAGTGGTTCCCTAGTGGCCTTTTTCAGTTTGCCCTCTGCCTGCTTCTCTGGTCTTCTCTCTTTCTGCGTCCTTCTTTCTCCAGTCTGAACTGCCCATATTCCCTAATTGCATAATACACATCAGTGCAGTGGGTGATGGTGTAGTCCCAGCAGTCAGAAAGCCTGAGTCCAATCCTGCTCTTCCAGTCTCATGACCTCGGGTGTGTTAGAAATGGATCCCGTTTCTCATCTAAGTGGGGACAAAAAGGCTTTGTAGGAATTTCATGAAATACTATAGGTAAAAGTGCACGGGGCAGTGTCTAGCACATAGTAAGTGCTATTAGTTGCTGATACCATTGTTGTTATCATGCCTGCCTCTGTGCCTTTGTTCCTGTTACTAGTTTCACTTTTTTAAGGCCTTCACTCCTCCACAGCCCAGCCTTATCTCATCTCCCCATTCATAAGAGCACCAGCCCATAATGAGTTCAGTCCCATGTTTCCAGTTTTCTTTGCAGTACCAGTGACCAGCACGGTGCTGTTTCTGCTACAGTGGAGAAGTGATGACTTTTTTGGGGCGGGGGGCAGGCGGGTGTGAGACATTCTTGTATGAACTTATCTGGCCTTTTGGCATCCTTGGGGTTCTAGCAGCGGCGTCTCTCCAGCTATGTGGTTTTTCTTCTTCTGGTCATCTGGGCTCCCGGCTCAGGTCCTCATGCTGTCTCAAATTTACTTATACCCAAAATTAATATGTCTTGAGTAAAATAGTGCTTGTTGTTTTGGAGTGAAATAATTCATATCAGGAAGAACAAAGTACTGAAAGAACATAAGGAAGGAGTGATATTTGTCTGAGTGGGGGCTTGAAGAAGGCTTCAAAGAATAGGCAGCATTTAAATTGGAGTTTGAAAGAGGAATGGGATTTTGATACCTGGGTAAAGGTGGGGAATCAGAGAGAGCATTCAAGACTGATAGAAGAACATGACAAAAGATACAAAAGCTTGCCCAGCCAGTGTGGCTCAGTGGTTGAGTGTCAGTGTATGGACCAGGAAGGTAATGGTTTGATTCCTGGTCAGGGTACATGCAGAGTTTGTGGGCTCAGTCCCTGGTGTGGGGCATGCAGGAGGCAGCTGATTGATGATACTCATCATTGATGTTTCTATCTCTCTCTCCCTTTCCCTTCCTCTCTAAAATAAATTAAACACACACACACACACACACACACACACGATGCAAAGGCTTGAAAATATAAGGACTGTTTCTGCAGAGGTAAGAAATGAGCCTGGAAATAGAAAAAGGAGACTCTTGCTTCCCCATGTGGAGTTTCCTCTTTTTGCCCTCTCCACTCTGATTTTCCCCTGTTGCTGTGCATCTTGTTTTGTTCCACTTGGGATGACCCCTGTTGATACACTTAGAGGATAATAACTTTCTTGTGCACATCAATGGGATTATCATAAATAAAATAATATTGTTTATGTTAATGAGATCCAAAATTTCACACACATTACTAAATGACATCTTGGAATGGATGGTCGGGGAATGTTTTTCAGGTTGAAAATATCCTCTTGCATGACCGAGGCCACTACGTCTTGTGTGACTTTGGAAGTGCCACCAACAAATTCCAGAACCCACAAACTGAAGGAGTGAATGCAGTAGAAGATGAGATTAAGAAGTAAGATTTTCCTTCTTTCTTGGAGATCAGCAGCTTTCAGCTTATGGATGAGAAGGTCAGGGTGAGATGACAATGATGCTAGTCAGTTTGTTCCTCTTCTTAGGTAATTATATTGGTGGTTGGCTTGTTTGATTTTAATTGGAGAATGTGGAGGGGGGTTATAATTATTGATGAGTAGAGTAAAATGACTCTGATACACTTTAGTAATGGGCCTATGGTAATTGTATATAGATATTTTTATTTATGTCATATTGCCCTTAAAAAACAGTAGTACACACATCATAGAAATAAAACATCCGTGATGTTATTAGTCAGTTGGGTACACTTTTACTGAATCCTAACTTGCTTTGTATTCCTTTCTTATAAGGAGCTCACCTGCAGTATATGGAGGGCTGAGTAGGGTATTGAAGTCTCTACGGATATTGAGTCACTGACTTTCATGAGGAAAAGCTTCTTTGGATATGTGACTCCAGTAAGAACCTGACCCATTTTTCCTGTTGTCCAAAGTGTTGGATTTTTACAGGCAACAGCACTCACTATTACTACTACGAATAAATCAGCTGTCGAGTGTGCCCACTCATATCCTGATCCTCTCTTTTGTTTCCTGCATCACAATCCTGGCAATGAAACCTAGGGCAGGAAAACTTCTGGTCCCAGGCCCTAATGGACACCTAAACCACAGTATCCTCTGGGCTCTAGCGACTCAAGCAGCACAGTCACAGGCTTGGTAATACCAAGACACGTTGAAGATGAGCTCATATCCTCTTTTCTTGAGCCAGAGATTAGAGGAAAACTGTTGTTTCACTAATCCAGCAGCGAAGATCTATCCATCTCCCACCCCAGCCAGGGCCCATTTTCTGCTGTTCTCCAGCGTCCTAGCCAGTGTTCTATCTCTGTGTCATGTCACGTTAAGGAGGATTACTATTTTAAAAAACATACCAGCAAAATATAATATCAAACAACAGGGATTTATAGGAGAAAATTTTGTTATTTGAGGACCCAAGAAAGATTGCTTTTGGAGTTTATTTAATGCCACAGTGTCTGGGTCCCCACATGCTGTTGAGCAGGACTGCTGCTAGAGGGCCACGGGTGTGTACCAAGGACAGCCTTTTATTTTATCTGCACTAATATTTCATACTCTCTTCTGCAGATTGCTCCCAGGGAGCTTATATATGAAGTATTTCTGCTGCCCCTGGTCTTTACATCATTGACATATTTAACAAAAAATGAATCTTTTGATTGTAGATACACAACGCTGTCCTATCGAGCCCCAGAAATGGTCAACCTGTACAGTGGCAAAATCATCACTACGAAGGCAGACATTTGGGTAGGTGTCAACTAACCTATCCACATCTCAGATATCGCCAGTCTTGACTGTAATCTCCCAAGTTTAATCCAGACTGCCATAGCAAGGGTGGCCACTGTGCCAACTTGTTGTCTACTTGTCTCTCGAGGTTATTCTTATCCCGAGGTGACCAACCATTGCTTCTTTAAGCATGTGAAAGAAAATGACTTTAGAGCTCTGTGAGAATTGTTCAGGTGACCTGCCCATTATTTAGATGGTTGTCACATATGTGATACTAGTTCTTAAGAGCAAAACAACTGAAATACTTGGTCTTTATTAGAGCTCAATTTGGTAATGATAGTAGAAATAATGTAACTCAGCAGCTTAATAATGGTGTTGGGCTCTAATTTAAATTATTAATAGGTTAATAGTACATAATTTTTATATATGCGAGTATATGTATCTCTCAGTAGACCCATTTGTAGTTATGGTAAATACACCACTAGTAGCAATCTGCTTTCTTTATTTTTTTTAGGCTCTTGGATGTTTATTATATAAATTATGCTACTTCACTTTGCCATTTGGGGAGAGTCAAGTGGCAATATGTGATGGAAACTTCACAATTCCTGATAACTCTCGATATTCCCAAGACATGCACTGCTTAATTAGTAAGTATTCAAGTTTCTAGTTTTATATTTTTATCACTAATCTCTAGGAATGAATTGAAGGGTAAAGGGACTGGCGGGTTGGATGCAAAGATAAAGAAGTTAGTTGATAATGGTTGGTCACTCAAATATAATATAACAGAAACCAGTGAGAGTGGTGGTTTGTTGTTTTTTGCTAGAAATCTACACTATTTACACCTAAGCCAGCCACCTGAGCGGAAATCCTAACTGTACTTTGAGCAATATAGTACTGCTCTGTTCTCTTGTAGTCTGTTTTATAGGCTCTGGTACCAAAGGAGTCCAGCTGACTCATCAAGTGATGAGAAATTCATCTTTGCAAAACTGGAAGCAATTCAAATAATGATTGCAATGCATTGGCTGGAGTGAATATATAATTAAGACTGTATAACTCTATGGAACTAGGTTTTTCCTCTCATTTAGGTTAATCACTGGATTTTGATAACAAGTATTTAAACTCAGTGCTTTAAATGTTTTTTAAATTCCCCACTTTTTTGCATCGTCAGAGTAAGCATATGTACTAATGTTCATTAACCAGATGGTAGACCAGGTAGTCTTTGCATAAGCCCCTGTCCTGAAAAGCTAAAGAAACAGATTATTTTTATTATCTTTTTATATCAGTGAACACATGTAGCATCTAAATTTTAACCATTATGGATTATAAATCCCGAGCAACCCAGTTTGGGTCCTAAATGGGGATGCTCTGAAGAAAATAGAAGCCATGTGGGCGAAGCATCTGACATTTTTTGAGGGCCTACTTTTACATAGTTTATACTTCATTTAATTCTTAAAACCTTATACAGTAAATGTAATTATCTCCATTTTATGCAAATGAGGAAAGTATAGGTAATTTATCCAAGTTAACATAGTTATAGTTTTTAAGTGACTACCCATTCCATTATTCCAATTTTATCAATCAACCTCTTCCATTTATTGACAAAAAAGTGAGGGAGGGTATTTAAAGGAATGGAATGGTTATTGGATTGTTTTCAGAGGTAAAGTGTTATATCTGTTCTAGAATTGTAGCTAATTTAAATGAGATTGGAAGGAAATATGAGAAAATGTCCCAGTTTGATGCTAGAATGATTGGATTTTTTTTGTACCTCATTTTTTTTCTTTTTAACATTTGTGCAGAAAATTCATATTAGGAAAAACAACTCTATAAATGACATCTTTACTAAACTCTGATTTATTTCAGTTTACAAATTTTTTGATGATTCTTTTGTCACCCTAAACTGATAGATCTAAATTAAATTTATTGCTATTCCCCCACCCCCTTTTACTACCAATTCAAGGTTCCCCTCTCTTTTCAATTTCTATTCATGGCATTGCCACTAAAGCCTAGGTGACTGAAATTTAAGGTTCTCTTTGGATTTGCCTACTCAGAGAGAGGGAGTATTTCCTAAATGGCATTAGGTCCTTTCTTTGACATTTCCCATCATCATTTTGTTCTCTCCATTCTCATTACTGAAATGATCGCACAGTAATCCTCAGTTCTCGAACATCTCCTATCTCGAACAATTCTGGTTTTTGACCAAGTTGTTCATGGAAAAAATGTCCTCGTTTTTGAACAAAACTTCAGTTTTCTACCTGACAACCCTTTCGTGCTGATATGTACATCTGCATGACCAAAAGCATCTCTCAGACCACAAACAAAGGAGAGAATGTGAGTCAGTGTATTTCTAAACCACTAAACCTTGCATTGTTAAACATCTCAGGAAATTGTGCTATGAATATTGTGTGTGTGTGTGTGTGTGTTTTGCTTTTGTTGCTGGTGAAATAGATGATTAGCACAATTTTAAAGCATAAAGAGGCCATCCCAGTGCTGACGTTGCTAAAGGTGTGAAACTGCTCACAAAACAAAGATCACAGACAGTTGAAGAGGTAGAAAAACTGTTGTTGATTTGGATAAAGAAAAAGCGGTTAGCTGGTGACTGTATTTCAGTGACAGCATTTCCGAGGCAATGAGATGTGAAAAAGCAAAGAGGCTGCACCCATGAAATGAATGCTGAAAGTGATTCATTTAAGGCTGGTAGGGGTGGTTCGATAAATTTAAGAAAAGAAATGTTTGTTTATAGATTAAACAGTACATTAGACATGTACTACTAGTATATATGTTTAAAAAAAGATTAAGACAGGGAATCATTTAGGGGTCTGGAACAGATTAATTCAATTTACATTTTTCTAATGGAAAAAATGATTTGGTTTTCGAACAAATCGCTTCTTGAACAGCCTTGGGAGTGAATTATGTTTGAGAACCGAGGTTCCACTCTATATACAGTACAGGCTCTGTCAGCTCATGCCTTTAGTAGTGGATTGTCCATAGCCTCCCCCTCTTTCTTCAGTCAATCCAACACACCTTCACCACAAGATTAATCTTGTAAAATACCACCCTATCATGTGCCTATTCAGTAACTTCATGGCCACAGTAGGGTTCATCCTCTTAGTGTGGCATTTAGAATCCTTCATACTCTAGTTCCATCCCACCCACCCAGCCTTATTTCCCTGTACTCTCTGACAAGAAAATCTATGCCCTGGCCTTCTGGCTCCTCTATTTCCTTGTAGCAAGGCTTTTTTTTTTTTTTTTTTTTTTTTTTTACTTTCTCCAAGTTCATCTTTGCTCAGACTATTCTCTCATCTGTAATGTCTTTTTCTCTGCTTTACCCTGACTGACTAAATTCTTCCCTGCCTTCAAGGACCAGCTCAAGTCCCGCCTCGTCTGCAAGCCCTTCACAAGACTGTAGCCTGATCAATTTTTTTCTGAACTTACTGTCTAAACCATTCATTTGATTTCTTAAGCAATAAATGGCCTTGCATTATTGTTTGTATATACTGTATATGTGAGTGTGTGTTTGTGTGTCTTAAAGATTTTTTTCCCTGAGGATTTTTCCATTTTCCGGAAGGGCAGCTAGAAACAGACAAGTGTTAAAAGTAGAGATGCATTTGTTATTTTGTGATTTCTTTTAGCCTTAAAACTAGCTTAGATCTCCAACAATAACAAAAAGATAGTAAGTTTATGAAATGTAAGTTTCGGTTATAATTATTAAGAATAATCACTTGTTTAACAAGATCATATGAACTAAGGAGGCCAGAAGCAAGACCATGCAACTTCCTAGGTCCCAGAATATGAAGGCAGTAACTTTCATATTGAGAATTGAGTCCCGATTGTGCAGAGCACAGTGAACTTCAAGTATCTTTGTTACAATTTTAAAACTTTGTTATTTACTTGTAGATATTTAAAAATTTAAGAAAGTACGAGTTTCCCTTTCTGAGAAGGGAGGAAAAGGACAAATTGGACTTTTATGAGGAAAAACAATTGCTTCCTAGCTAATGTAATAACTGTTAGGATATTATTAAATGAGGTAACATTTGTTTTTCTTAGGGTATATGTTGGAACCAGACCCTGACAAAAGGCCGGATATTTACCAGGTCTCCTACTTCTCATTTAAACTACTCAAGAAAGAATGCCCAATTCCAAATGTTCAGGTATGTGAAAGGTGCTTTTTAGGGGATGTAAACATAATTAATTGTCATCTAGAATTCTTGGGGTGTTAATCAGCTGTTTAGTGAATATAGATGTCCCTTGCTTTATCTAGTAGGGCTCATTCAAGCAAATTGCTAGGAAGTAATTGCTATTAAACAGAGTCCATTTTCCCCATAGAATTTAAATCTAAAACTGAGGTAATTACACTGGGGAAAAATAAGAAACCCTAGAGATCGAGTTGAACACTTTGGGTAAAGATTGACTAAACTATGGTCTTGCTGATTTTCACAATTCACTAAGAGCTTATTGTATTTACCTAGAGATGGTTAGGCAGCTGCTTTCCTGAGACAAGGTCTGGACATGCCCCACACCAATTGTAACCAAAGCCCCTTGTCCCTTTTCTCCTTCACGGCAGCAGAACTTTCTTGATTTTGCTTCTGCTGTTGGCCATTTGTGACTCACACTCCTTTTCCTCTACCCTCCCCACACACATCAGAATGTTTTCTACACTTTTAATCCTAAACTCTGCATTCTCAGTATCAGAATACAGTTCTTGAAAACACCCTTTTCACAGTCGTGGCATATTTTTCTGGTCATAGTATGATCCAACTTTCTTGAATATTGTACTAATGGATGCCGTCTCAAGTTCTGGTCTGAAATTGTCTTGCCTGCTTCTCCAGTAATGAACTTCTGATGTCATTTTGGGAGCTGGTAAAGAACAGTCCACTTTCACTCCCACATTTGGATCAGATGTGGAAGTCATTCAGATGGAGCTCAGAATATTGGTTTTATCACTAATAACATTGAGTCAGAGAACATAGCTTGGCCAGTTCCCTAACATTAGAGCCTTGTGACTAAGCAGTGAGCACCTGATTCCTGAGAGACAGGCTCTTCCCTAAAGGAGGGAGAGCATAAGGAACCAAACAAGCTCACCTTTTTCTTCTAGTCCTATCAGTAAAATAAGTTACACCTTCTCCCTTGGGAAAGGAACACTTGGTGGGTGAAAAAGAATCTAGGAGACATTTTCTGCAGAAATTGCCCCCACCTAAAAATGTGAAGGAAATGAGACATCCTCTTAAAAGCCAGTTTCAGCCCTGGCCGTTTTGGCTCAGTGGATAGAGCGTCGGCCTGCAGACTGAGAGGTCCCAGGTTCGATTCCGGTCAAGGGCATGTATCTTGGTTGCGGGCACATCCCCAGTAGGAGGTGTGCAGGAGGCAGCTGATCAATGTTTCTCTCTCATCGATGTTTCTAACTCTCTATCCCTCTCTCTTCCTCTCTGTAAAAAATCAATAAAATATATTAAAATATATATTTTTTAAAAAGCCAGTTTCATTACTAGTATTTTGTTTGTCATGTTTCCCAGAACAGGAGATACTGTACAGTAATCTAACATGACCTTGTTTTCTTTCACTATCCCATTTTCCCATTCATAAAGTTAAATAATATGAAATATAATTGGAAGCATTCAGATTGGTAACCAGTTTTTAATAAGTCAGCTTCACAAGTCTCAAGTCATTTGATGCTTGCTCAGCAGTGGTAAACAGTGGTCTTGTGGTTAGAGACAGCTAGTGCTCCCTGGAGAGACAGTATTGGATGGATGGTGCCGAATCCAAGCTCAAGGAGCTCAGTCAGCGTGGCTTGTGGACTGAGTAGTGCCTCATGTGCTGGAAAGAGGTGCTGGCTCAGCAACTAGACACACTGGCTGTGGTTTTCTCCCAGCATTCTGACTAGAAGGTTGGGCACACTAGTCAGCTCTGACTTCTCTAATATCTAGCTGAGAACTTAAATAGTAATAAAGCCCGGGCGGTGTGGCTCAGTGGTTGAGCATTGACCAGGATGTCACAGTTTGATTCCCAGTCAGGGCATATACCCAGGTTACCAGCAAATCCCCAGTGTGGGGCATGCAGGATGCAGCCAGTCAATGATTCTCTCTCATTATTGATGTTTCTATCTCTCTCTCCTTCTCTCCTTCCTCTCTGAAATCAATAAAAATATTTTTTAAAAAAATTTTTAAGTAATACAGGTTACAGACATCTCTTTTCATTCCTATCATAACCTCACTTCTAAGCTGTGCTTTAGGGAGAGAAGGGTACTGACATCAAACCCCAGTGACCTTAGCCATACAAAAGGTTGAGAATGATGGCAGGGGAATGTGCCGCAGGGGGTTGCCCTGTCCTCTTCTCAGATAATTTGTCCCTCTGACTGGGGCTGAGTCCAGTGGGATATGCTCTACTAGAGATCAGGGTCTAGAAGCCACTCTGGAAAAACCCAACACATATTTTCATCAGCCCAATCATGGTGATCATTCTTCTACAAAGAAATCTGTGATGTTCTTTTTAAAATTTTTCTTTCATTCTCTAGAACTCTCCCATTCCTACAAAGCTTCCTGAGCCAGTGAAAGCCAGCGAGGCAGCTGCAAAGAAGACCCAGCCAAAGGCCAGGTAAGAAATGCCTCAGTGAGCACCTGTTGTGCTCTGTTGCCTCAGTAGCAGGGGAGGGAGGATGCCTTGTATTTCTTGATTCTTCTACTGCCATGGCTAAGAGGCTGCCCAGCACAAGAAAGCAAGCTGTATCTCCTATAGGCAGAAGCTATCCTTTGGGAATGCAAGGAGGAATCTAATGAAATACAATGATCTACATTTGAAAGAGAATAAAAAATTCCACAGCTGTTCCCCTTGCTTGGGATTAGGCACAGGAGCATTCAGAGATGAGGCAACAGCAGACTTTAAATATTGCTAGTACAAGAGTGTCCCGGCCTTTGTTTAGCCTCCTTCAGCACCCTAATCCTCTACCTCCCTTTCCTTTTTACTCACTAAGGCCCTGGCCACATGAGGGAAGTACAGGTCAAAGCACTGAGTCCATGAAACAGCCAAAGAGCCTGTGGATCTTAGTTAATCACATCCTGTGTAACCTAGGGTGTCCCAAGACACAGACGATAAGAGAGGACTACAGAAGCTAGTATTTTATTTGGGGAAATGCCTGAGAGAGAAAATAGGGAGGGAGCCAGGGAAGGTTGGGAGAGCCATCAGAAGGTGATGTAAGTCTGACCTAGAGAGAGGGAGGAGAAAGTTGGGTGGAAGTGACCTAAATTGCCACACAATTTAAGGAAGGTTTGCCAAAGGGGATCCTTGGTCAAAGTCAGCTACCAGAGGAGTCTCCTATGTCCCTGGACCTGGTCTTCCTTAATATCCCTGTGACTGGGATAGTAAGACTGGGGGCTGCCTATGGGAAGCATGGCCTCAGGGCAAACACAGCAGTAGCAGTGGATTTCGGAGCACAGCAGCTGGAGTGCTTGGTCTTTCATATCCCTTGTATATGAAGGTCTGCAGGACACATCCTCATGACTGCTATGCCTTCCCAATGGCAAATTCTAAGGGTAGCCCCAGAGATGTTTATACCCCCTTTTTTTCCTACCACACTCCCATGGCAAGGAAACATTAAGCAGCAAATTATCAACAAAGTACCTTAGATGGGAATATGTGAATTTTTATAGAACAGTAAAATAACTTCTACATTTAAAAAAAATTCTTGAATGTTTACAGAATGCCTGCAGATGTGGCTCTAAAGTAATGATGAGACTTTGGTTTTTAACAAATTTAGCAAACTATATTCAGATTGTTACTTTGCAATCTGAATAAGTCTGCCATGCTCACCTCTGGGAATTGCTTCTGGGACTAATTTAATAGCTTAGTATTTGGGTTTATGGCCTTCTGTACTAGATCCAAACATGGTATGTACTGAGGCTAAGCAAGGATCTCTTCCCACAAAGCACACACATTTGTAAAAAGGATAACAACGATTAACATTTGAGTGGTACTCTGTTGTGACTCCTGCAGCTTCTGCGGGTCTCAGTGTGCCTTTCCTTCCTTCTAGTTGTAGAGTTTACAGTCAGCCAGGCTTCCTGTGGTTCTGGATGAAGTCCGTATTGTTTCTCTGAGGTATTAATCAATTGTTGTGTGCGGCATTAATTTCCCGGTGTTTATCTCTGCCGCCATCTTAGTTTCTCCGCTTCTGGGACTAATTTAATAGCTTAGTATTTGGGTTTATGGCCTTCTGTACTAGATCCAAACATGGTATGTACTGAGGCTAAGCAAGGATCTCTTCCCACAAAGCACACACATTTGTAAAAAGGATAACAACGATTAACATTTGAGTGGTACTCTGTTGTGAAAATGGATAAAATAGTACCTATGTCATAAGGCAGATGTGAACATCAAATGCATAAATGGCTGTGCAGCTGTTTTATAAACTGTAGAGTGCCCAAACTGTTAATTTCTATGGACCTCAATAATGCTGTGAGAATACATAGACATGACAGCCAAGAGATTTGGGTCTAAGTCATCCTATCTATAATTTACAGTGATTTCATTTTTGTATTCACTCCCCAATCCTAACACGTGCGGTTTTTCTTTCTAACTCTTGTTAAAGAGGCAACAGACTCAGAATTTTAAGTTGCCCAAGGCAGTTAGTTAATCACTATGGGGTTAGTAAAAGAACTAGACCTCCAGCATTCACACTCTATACACTGTACCTTAAGTGATTTGCCCAAGATCACACAGAGAGGACAACTTAGAGTCGAGTCTCCTGGTTTCTCAGTCTGTATTTTTTCCGCAGCATATTGAGACCTGTTCAAACTGATAGTTCAAACATTCTGCATTTCATAAAATGGTTTCACAGTCATTGTTGCATTTGATGTTCGCATCCGCCTCATTATGTAGGTATTGTTTTCTCCATTTTACATATAAGGGACCCAAGGCTAAAAGAGGTTAAATGATATGCCCATTGTTATGCAGTTGGTAGGTAGGGAGCTAATGCTCAAATATAGTTTTCTTTGATTCTAAATCCTAGTGTTTCTAAGATATTATTACCCCTAGGAGAAGTCCACTGTGGGAGTTTTTAATATTTGTTTTTTTACTCAAGTCTGTTTAAGTTCTGACCCTTGGCTTTATCTTTCTTACACCTTTCTCAACATCTGTCCCATTTCCCTATCCACCTCCCTCCCCCAGGTTATAGCCTCCCCAAATGTGAGCGCTTTTATATTATCAGTTCTCTCCCCAGCATAAGAGCTTCTTTCTAGCACAGTGATTTTCAACCATTGTACTGCAAGAATTTTAAAAACATGCAAGACCTGACTATTTAGTCAGGGGTACTGACTCTTTTGCCGTAGATTGTCAAGTAAAAAAAATGACAACAGCCAACACAACAATAGCCTTCTGGTATAAATGAATCAAAATTATACCTATTTTTTAGTCAAATCGGCCAAAAACATAATATATTTCTGGGTGTGCCACAGAATTTTAATAATTGGTTTACGTGTACCATGGATGAAAAAGGCTGAAAATCATTCTCTAGCAGGACACTAGTGAAAAGCCACGGGTCCAGAATGGAATACCTTGGAGGTATGTCACAGGGAAGGACATGGGGCCAGTCGCTTTGCTTCCTGTTTTGCATTTCATGGAGGCTGTGCCAGGCATATTTTGGAAATATCCACGAAGCTTGTTTATTTTGGCCTTAGCCTCAGTCAGCTGTCCTCCCTAAAGTACATTTTCAAAGGACAACCACTCTGATCTGAGCGTGCCGGCTCCCTGGGCCGCTCTAATGAACGGAAGTCACCACCTGGGGCTTAGCACCATCACAAGAAGAGGCAGACCATACAGCAGTTCTCCCGTATTAATGTGGATCGATTTGGTTCTGACTTAAAGAAACTCCAAAATTACAGTGGCTTCTGTAAGATAGATGTTTATTTTTTTTCTTTAAGTAAATAGAGTCTGGGGTAAGTAGTGCAGGGATGATAGTGCAGTTCTGCTCCACAAAGTCCTCAGGTGCCGGGGCTTCTTCATGCTCACCGCTCTGCCATCCCTCAGGCTGTGGCCATGACCTCATGGACCAATGTGGCAGCATCCCTGTTCCAAGCAGCAGGATCAAGGAATGACCAAAGAAGAAGAGAGACAAAGGGCATGTACCAGTTATTTCTTAAGGTTTCTAGCAACTGCCACGTAACGATCTGTGTATATAACACGTAAGGCCAGAACTTAGACACATGGCCACACCTGATTATAAGAGAGACTGGGCAATTTGGTTTTTACTATAGGTGACTCTATGCCGAGGTAAATATTATATTACCATGGGGAAAAACAAATATGTGTATTGGAGGAAATGGAGTTCCTGTCACACTCCCCAAATACTTCAACTTGAATTATTTACTTATTTCTTTTACTTGCCTTATTGGATTAATTTATTTGCATACTTTTTATAGTAGAAAGACCATTTTGACAGCTAGTTCTAACCAAGTTTGAGTTCCCTCTACATCTGAAAACAACCTGCTTCAAACCTCACTTTGCATCATCACCCAATGTGTATTCTGGGAAATTCTAGGAAATGTTAGCTAGGAGGGCCACAAGGTCAAATAGATTTGAGAAATACTACGTTCTATACAGTGCTTTCTTTAAGGGTCTCTATACACATGAAAAGTTCTGCTGAAACATTAAAACATTTTCCCATGAAATCTTTATTTATAACATCTAGTAACACAGAATGCCTGCTGGGAAATGTTGATTAAGCAAATCTAGAAGGTTGGATGAGTGTGGAGAACAAAGCTAATCCATCATGTACTCTGCCCCTCAACCATTTTCTCACACATTAATATGAATGTTTGTTTTTTCTTTTCCTCTTCTAGACTGACAGACCCCATTCCCACCACAGAGACTTCCATTGCACCCCGCCAGAGGCCTAAAGCTGGGCAGACTCAGCCAAACCCAGGAATCCTTCCTATCCAGCCAGCCCTGACACCTCGAAAGAGAGCCACGGTTCAGCCCCCACCTCAGGCTGCAGGTCAGTTCCTAGGAGCTTTGAAAGTTGGTACACCTCTTTGTTATCCTGGATAATGAGAAGTCTTGGAAAGCCTAATTTTGCTTCAGGAATGGAATACAGAGCTACATAAAGAACAATAGGTTTCTGCCCTGGCCAGGTGGCTCAGTTGGTTGGAGCGCCATCCTGTACACCCAAAGGTTGCAGGTTCGATTCCCGTTCAGGGTACATACCTAGGTTGAGGGTTTGATTGTTCTTTGTTGCACGTACAGAAAGCAACCTATCATTATCTCCCTCTCTCTCTCTCTCTCTCTCTCTCTCTTTCTCTCCCCCCGCCCCCCCCACTCTGTCTTCCTTTCTCTCTAAAGATCAATTAAAAAACATATCCTCACATGAGGATTATAAAAAGAAGAATGGTTTTCTTTAAGGAACAAGAGGTAAGCTGCCATTGAAGTTATATGGCAGGAGGCTGGTGAAAGGGGAGGCCTGTCATTGAATTCTGCAGGGAATCACCAAGACCACCAAAGCCTGTTGTCTCTATTTTTTTCTAGTCTTAGCCCTAATTTTGTGCCCTGGACCATTCATCCCAGACCTACCTCTTTATTTCATATACTTTTCTTTGCCTCTAAACACCAAGACACACCTCTTTTTGACATAGAGAAATTATTTCTTTAATTCTGTCTCTTGAAGTATCTCTCACCCCTCTGTGCTTTGGTATTCTCTTTCTGGTGAGGTGACTAAGTTTTGTTTCATAAAGAGGACTGATCCAAATAATCAAGTAACTGAACTCAGCCATCACTTCCCTTACCAGGAAGCTGTTTTGGGTAAATTTGGTAGCCATTTACTTATAAGGCATCCAGACTGGAATTGTGCAGCCTACATATAAAACATCAAAGAATGCTTTTATTCTGCAGAATGCCAACAAGTACAAAGATTGTATGTATATACATTAGCATCAAAGGCTAGTTGAATTTGTAGATAATCAAGATACTAACTAAAGGAGTAACTGACTAAATGGGTTGGTGAATAAAGGAAAGCTTTTTGAAGGAGGCAAATATAGAATTGTTTGTTGAACCTTGTTTTGAAAAATATGAAGTGCAGCCCAGCCAGCATAGCTCAGTGGTTGAGCGTTGACCTATGCACCAGGAGGTCACGGTCAATTCCTGGTCAGGGCACATGCCCGGGTTGTGAGCTCTATCCCCAGTGTGGGGCATGGGGAAGACAGCCAATCAGTGATTCTCTTTCATCATTGATGTTTCCATCTCTCTCTCCCTTTCCCTTCCTCTCTGAAATCAATAAAAAAATATGTATTTTTAAAAAGTGCATAGATTAGCAAAAAGGAAGGACATTCCAGGTATAAAGACAGTCAGGAGCACATGGATTTGGGGATTATCTGTCCACTTAGCACCCCCTCTTTTCTTATGTTGGCAAGAAGGAAAGTCGTTTTGGGAATAGTGCTGAGCTCTTACATGGAATTTATTCTCATTGCAGGACCCAGCAATCAGCCTGGTCTTTTAGCCAGTGTTCCCCAATCAAAAACTCAGCCCCCACCCAGCCAACCTCTACCACAGTCCCAGCCCAAGCAGCCTCAGGCTCCACCCACCCCACAACAGACGCCTTCCACTCCTGCCCAGGGTCTGCCCTCTCAGGCCCAGGCCACACCCCAGCACCAGCAGCAACTCTTCCTCAAGCAGCAACAGCAGCAGCAGCAGCAGCAGCAGCAACAACAACAACAACCACCACCACCATCACAGCAGCCAGCGGGCACATTTTACCAGCAGCAGCAGCCACAGACACAGGCTCAACAGGTAAGGTGGTCAGAGTGTGACCTTTGCATTGCATATCCCAGTCATCACTGTGAAAAGACCCTCTAGGTCAGTGGTTCTCAACCCTCCTAATGCTGCGACCCTTTAATACAGTTCCTCATGTTGTGGTGACCCCCAATTTCATTCTTACAAATTGAACATAATTAAAGCATAGTGATTAATCACAAAAACAAGATGTAGTTATATATGTGTTTTCCGATGGTCTTAGGCGACCCCTGTGAAAGGGTCGTTCGACCCCCAAAGGGGTCGCGACCCACAGGTTGAGAACCGCTGTTCTAGGTACAGAAATCTGTCTTGGGAAGCCTTGGGAAGACTGATCCATTAATGACCTCATCACTGCTTCTCCCAGATGTAAGTACTGTAAAGCACTGCAGAGTGGAGCAATCACAGGATCACTCTGCCCCTTTCACCTTTCTTCTCAGGCTTTGGGAATTCTTCCCCTGACTGAGGAACTTCAGGAAGGGAGCTAATTTTTAAGAACTCTTTTTTTCCCTCTCTCTCACACATAACTACAAGACCATTATCATACTGAAACAAAATACAATAATTTCTTATCAAATATCCAGAAGTGTTTAGCCCTTTATCATGTCTCATAATTAAAGTTGGCTTGTTTGAATCAGGATCCAAAGTCCACATATTGTATTTAGTGTCATTTTTTTTCCGTTATATTTTCTTATATTTTTCACATATTTTACTTTGAACATATTCATTTATAACAAGTACTATATCTTTCATCTTTTAAGTCCCTTTCCATAGGTACCCTCTCCCTCTTTTTACCCCCTTTTGTCTTTTTTTTTTTTTTTTTTTAAGAAACTGGGTCACTTGTCCTGTAGAATTTTCCACATTCTGGATTTGGTTGATGGCATCCCTGTGGTGATGTTTAATATGTTTCTCTATCCCCTGGGTAAACTGGTAATTTCCTGAGGCTTGCTCAGTATTCCATTCAGTTTGATTGTTCTTTGTTTTTCTGGTTATATCACATCAGGGGCATATAATGTCTGGTTGTCCTCTCTTTTAATAATATTAACACTAATAAGTGGGTTTGGTGTTGTCCATTTGATCCATTCATTTGATGTTCCCTATCAGCTTAGCAGTCATTGCTAATCATTTCCTAAGTCTATTAATTCATTAGGGATGGCAAAATGGTAATATTCTAGCATTTCCTCTTCATTTAAGGGCTGGAATTTATCTATAAAGAATTTTTTTCATCAACTATTTTATTACCCTAAGGTATTGTTTGTGCAGAAAAGGCCGAAAAATTTATGATTCTTTTCCTGTTTTTACCAGTTTTAGAATGAGTTTGTTCTTAGTATCATCCAAAGGTGAATAATGAGGTTTTTGTTTTAGTATCACTAGGAACTTGTGGATCTTAACATATTTGATATGTGTCCATACATTGTAGTTTTTAAAATTTTGTTTATTTTTGCCGGGAGCCGGTCCATCCTTGCTGTTTCAAGGGACCTGGCATATATGGAATACTGTTCTTAATATATTTGCTCACCTTCTTGGCACTATGTGTTTTAACCAAGGTCACCTCTCCGAGAAAGGTTGTTTCCCCAGGTAGAGATTTTCCCCTGAAGTTAGGGAGGGAGTAAAACCTCTTAACTAAGTGCCAGGCTGGTAATTAATCACTTTAACTACGAACAGTCATGCTTAAGCTACATAATCTTTACTCCCTGGAATGGAGATAAGAAACGCCCTAACCTTTGGAATAGAGATTGATAGGATTGGAATCAACTGGTATAAATACAGATGTAACAAGACAGAGAGACACAGAACTCAGAGACAGAACTTAGAACACAGAACTTAGAACACTAAGTCACATGAGATATAAAAATTTTTTTTCATTGTCTTGGAAGAACAACAAACCCAGCATATTTTGATGTTCAAAGCATCCCAACTTTGTCCAGTGAAAATCTTCAAATTGGCTCCTAGATCCTTTGGCTGGGACTCCAGTAGTCTTTATGGTTTCCTTATTATTCATTGTAACAAGCTGTTCCAGGCTCATTCTACCTGAAATCAGCCATTTCTCTAAGGAGCTTCTTTTCCTTTTCATGGAAATGGTCTTTAGAGACCACAATTTTGGTCTAGGGATACTCATTTGCTAATGGGTTAGTTATTGTTTTTAGACCTTTTCAATGGACAGTAGTTAGGAAATAAATTTTGTTTTCTTAATAGAATATATACCGTGAATTCAAATTTATATTCCTAATTTAGATGTATAATTACAGGATTTTTGTTTAACTTCATAGATTTTATATTTGTACTAGAGGTCTGGTGCACAGATTCATGCACATTGAAAGCAAATTAATTAGAAGAAATATTTTAGAAGCCGTGGAGGGACTGCGGGAGGTTGGCGTATCCGGCCAGTCTGGCCCAGTCCTGATCGGCCTGACCCTAGCAGCAAGCTAACCTACTGGTTGGGGCGTCTGCCCCCTGGTGGTCAGTGCACTGTCATAGCAACAGGTCGAAGGGTTAGAGGGACAATTAGCATATTAAGCTTTTATATATATACTAGGGGCCCGTTGCACAAAAATTTTTGCACTCGGGGGGGAAGGGGGGGTCCCTCAGCCCAGCCTGTGCCCTCTAGCAGTCTGGGACCCTTCCGGAGATAATGACCTGCTGGCTTAGACCTGCTTCCGGGTGGCAGAAGGCAGGCCCAATCCCTAGGTGCAGCCCCTGGTCGGGCTCAGAGCAGGGCCGATTGGGGAGTTGGGCCGCCGCCACTCTCACACTCAGGGCAGGGCCGATGGGGAGGTTATGGCTCTACCCCGTCACACACAGAGCAGGGCCTGTGGGGGGCGGGGTTTGGGGTGCCGCACCCTGTCACACACAGAGCCGCAGGGCGATCAGGGGGTTTGGGCGCTGCCCCCTGTCACACTGATCCCGGTGTCGGGAGGCCTCACGGCTCTGCTGATCCCAGTGCTGGGAGGCATATTACCCTTTTACTCTATAGGGTAGAGGCCTGGTGCATGGGTGGGGGCCGGCTGGTTTGCCCTGAAGGGTGTCCTGGATCAGGGTGGGGGTCCCCACTGGGGTGCCTGGCCAGTCTTGGTGCGGGGCAGAGGGCTGTTTTCAGGCTGGAACTGAAGCTCCCAACCGCTCCTTTTTTCCTTTTTTTTTTTTTTTTATTCTGGGCCAGCTTTAGCTTGAGGATGGGCTCCAGCTCTTAGGCCTCCGCTGATGAAAGTAGGTTTCTGGCCTTTGCATACAATGTTGCGATCCTGCTGGCTGAAGTCCGGGGGGATTTGTTACATAGTTTCTTAAACTGCAGGCTCAGAGGCCTGCAGCTGCAGGCGGGGAACGTTGGGTTCTTCCGTCACTGAAGCAAGCAAGCCTCATGTTAGTTTCAAGCTGCCTGGCTGCTGGCTGCCATCTTGGCTGTCAGTTAATTTGCATATCTCGCTGCATAGCCAATGGGAAGGGTAGCGGTCGTACGCCAATTACCATGTTTCTCTTTTATTAGTGTAGATATTTTTTTTTCTAATTAAAGGCTTGATTCCTAATAACATTAACATAATTACTTATTTGATTTATAGTTTAAAAAAAGCAATACTAATAGGATTACTGAAAATAGTTTCAGATTTTTTGCCCTTAGAATGTTTAGCATATTATTTTCTGGGGAGTTTGGCTATTAATTTGACACATGGGTTTCTTTGCTTCATTTTGCTTTTGCTTTTTAGTTATTGACCTTTAAATTTTGTTTTAATTTTGTTTTGCAAACACGTAAAATATTTACATAGTTTCAAAGTTAAATCTGCAAAATTCTGTCCCTTCCATCCCTTATATAGAGGTAGTCCTCATTCCTATTTACAACTAGAGAGTTGGGTATATAGGATAGTTTATTCAGTCAGTCCCCTGTTGATAGACTTTTGGTTGTTTCCAGCATTTCACGGTTATAAATAGGCAACTATTTACTGACATCTGCTTCTTTGCTAACCCTTTAACTTGACCTCATTAGGCAAACGATATCCTGTCAATTAGCTCTATAATGAAGTAAAGCTATTTAGGATGTTAAGAGACAAGATCTTGGAGTTTTGTTCATCAGTAGGCCCTTGTTTGAGCTCTATTTGTGTGCCTAGCACATAGTTCTTAGTGGGTAGGAGAAAGACAGAAAAGGAGGTTCTCTATTTTTTGGATGCTTTATAAGAGAATATAACTTGACACAATTTATTACCAGTATATAATAAAATGTCATTAAGTGTAATAATCTGAATATTTTGAATGTTTAAAGTTGGAGAGTTAGTAAAGATAGAGCTAGTGGGAAATAATTTTCAGAAAGAGATGGCCTTAATAGTTGGGTTAACATTTAGGGCTTTTTTTTGTTTGTTTTATTTTCAGTGCCGTCATTGCTTCATCCTGTTCATCTAGGGAAGAATTTTAATCTTGGCTACTTCCAAATCCCTTTAAGAGGAGTATTCTGTGATTGGGAGATCATTTATTAGCTTCTGTTACACTCGCATGTATGGAGTCACAGATGTGTAGTGAGATGGACACCCTCAGGCGTGGCATAGAAGCCCACATGGGAGCTGGTCTGCAGTACAGGAGGCAGCATAGTGTAGTGGATGGAGCCTGGCAGTGTAAGGTGCTGCTCTGTTTGTTTAAATGTCTTCAGGTTTCCCTCAGGAGTTTCAGGCCAAGTTACAAGACTTCTGCCTTCCTTTGCCTTTGGCTTCATCACTGGTCTTAGTTGTTACTGCGACAGGTTTTTATTTACCTCCTCATTTCTTGCTCCTTTCTCCTGCTTAGTTTCAGGCAGTACACCCAGCAACCCAGCAACCAGCAATTGCCCAGTTCCCTGTGGTGTCCCAAGGAAGCTCTCAACAGCAGCTGATACAGAACTTTTACCAGCAGCAGCAGCAGCAGCAGCAGCAGCAGCAGGCCACAAACCTGCATCAGCAACAGCTGCTGACTCAGCAGGCTGCTGTGCAGCAGAAGCCTGCTGTAGCAGCCGGACAGCAGCCCCAGGCTCAGCCAGCCGCAGCCCCGCAGCAATCCCCTGCCCAGGAGCCAGTGGTGAGAATCAGCCAGGACTCAGAGAGCAAAGGAAGAGGAGAATGCAGTGAGGGCTTGGGAAACAGGCTGCAGCAGCTGGGTGTTGGCCTCTGGCCTAGAACTAGGCCGATTCCCCACCCTGTGGTTAAAATATTTGTTCTTTTCTTGATATAATCAAGAACAGGATGAAGTAATCCGTCAATGGTAGAGGTTTTTAAAAAAATAACTCTAGGCTACTGATGAAGGTTTAATTTATTACTTTGAAATTAGGATGGCAGAAAGAGCTGTTCATTTTCTCTTGTGTTGAGCAGCCAAGGACCTAGGTAGGATTAGAATTAGTCCCTTTCCCTTCTTCAAGGGGCAGCTTGGCCATTATGGCGTTTTCTGTCTTTGGAGGTTCATACGAACCCCCACATTTACCCTGAGTCCTGACAGTGTTGTGTTTATTCTTTGTTTTGGGCGACATTATTGGCCACCTCAATCGAGTGTACCATACAGCACCCTTCAAGGGGCCTGCATGCGTGGGACCACTTGCCATGGCCTAATCCCTTTGGACACCAGAGTCTCTAAGAATTGTTTGAGCCCAATTGTCAGTATAGAATTGATCATGTCTACTTTTAGATAATGTCTGAATGTAGCATCTGAATCACTACATCCTCCCCTGGTAGACCTCTGCTGTTTGAACATCCTCAAACACATTGTGTTTTGGCCTTTAAGAAATGCCTTTAATTTTGTACTCACAGTTTTCTGAGTGATACTGAGAGATAATTTTATAGTGATAGAAAAAGACATTTTACACACCCAGCCAATAGAATATAACAGCTACTGTCTTATTCCCAGGGAAGTCTAACTACTAGACGAATGATAGGAAACCATCTTTTTGAGGACTGAGTTCTACTAGAGTTTTATGGCCCATCTTAAACCAGAAATCCTACATTGCTTCCAAAGGAAGCAGTACCGTAAATAGATTTTTTTCTTTAAGTCTCAGCTGTGTGTTCAGTGTCTTTACACCTTAGTTTCTGAAACAACTCTAGTCTTCCCGCAGGAGTGAAGTAGATAGCTACTCTCTGTATTTTTAATAAGAGATAAAGTTGCTCTTGTTAAATGAAAAAGGGCTTTTAAAAAAATTACCATATGATGTAGCTAATTGAGATCTTTCTTTTTTTTAATATATATTTTTTATTGATTTCAGAGAGGAAGGGAGAGAGATAGAAATATCAATGATGAGAGAGAATCATGGATTGGCTGCCTCCTGCACGCCCCCTACTGGGGGTTGGGTCAAGTCCACAACCCCGGCAATGTGCCCTTGGCTGAAATCGAACCTGAGACCCTTTTGTCCGCAGGCCAATGCTCTATCCACTGAGCCAAACTGGCTAGGGCACTAATTGAGATCTTAATTATCTAGTCCAGTCCCCTCACTTAAGGGAATTGGAAACTGAGGCCCAACCTAGAAAGTCATTACCTAAGACACACAGACTGATAGCAGCAGAGCTGGGACCAGAACAAAGGGTCCTGATCTGTGTTCAGGATGATAATAATAGATGCTTATCTGGGGGGATGAGATGATAAACTTCCTACAGGCAACACTTCTTAGGAGGTTCTCTCTGCTTTCCCCAGACAAAAGTATCACTCTCTTGGGAATGAATTGTGAAATTTCTCCATGTTCCTTGGATTAAAAAAAAAGCTTTGTTTAGTGGTAGTTGGTTAAGGGGGTGGCGAGGGAACATGCTTGTGCCAGGAGCTGGAGAGCTTCCCAGCTTTGACCATCTCTTTCCCAATGACTCTTGGCAGAACTTACCTAAGAGAAGCAGGTGAGTGAATGTACACACTGCAGCCCTAGCCGGTTTGGCTCAGTGGATAGAGCTTCAGCCTGTGAACTGAAGGGTCCCAGGTTCGATTTCGATCAAGGGAACATGCCCGGGTTGTGGGTTTGATCCCCAGTAGAGGGCATGCAAGAGGCAGCTGATCAATGATTCTCTCTCATCATTGATATTTCTATCTCTCTCTTCCTCTCCCTTCCTCTCTGAAATCAATAAAAATATATTAAAACAAAAATATACATTGCAGCCATCTTAAAGCAATAATCTACAAAGGAAAATGGTTGTATGCCATAGATGTTTGTGGCCACCTTATTTAAAATGGTTGAAAGAATGGCCATTTTAAATCGTTCAATAACCAAAAAATAAATAAATAACCCAACTGCAGCCATTAAAAATCAGAATAGCTTCTGTAGTCTTATGCTTTGGGCTAATTTGCATATGGTTACTCTGTACATTGTCATTGATGAAGATTGAAATATATATTCTATATAATAAAAGGCTAATATGCAAATTGTCCCCTTGACTGGGAATTCATCCAGGAGTTCGACCAGGGGGCGGGGCTGGCTGGCTAACAACCGTGGCCCCTCCCCCCAGCCGGCCTAGCCCGATCGGGTGGGCCAGCCGGACTCCACTCGAGCACGAATTCATGTGCCGGGTCTCTAGTGTGTGTGTGTGTGTGTGTATGTGTGTGTGTGTGTGTGTGTACACACACAACACACAAGATAAATACCGTATTGGTATCAGTCCCAAAGTTGCAGTTCAGGTTGTCAAAGCCCAGTGGTTGTTTTTTTTTCTCAGGATGTTATTGTTAAACTCAGCCATTTAAATTCTATGTTAGCTCTCCTGTGGCATTTTTTTGTTATGTTAATCTGTTTGTTGTTTTTTCCTTTGTTTTGGAACATTTTTCATTTCTCTTCCTAGCAGATACAAGCCCCAGTAAGACAACAGCCAACAGTTCAGACAACCCCACCTCCTACCGTCCAGGGACAGAAACTCGGATCTCTCACTCCTCCGTCATCCCCCAAGACCCAACGTGCTGGACACAGGCGGATTCTCAGTGACGTAACCCACAGTGCAGTCTTTGGGGTCCCTGCCAGCAAATCAACCCAGCTGCTCCAGGCAGCTGCAGCCGAGGCCAGTCTCAATAAGTCCAAGTATGTGATGCTTCTCCTTTATTCTTCTTACTTTACTTCGTGGGCAAGGTCTGCTGTGGGCCGTTACTGTGTGATTCTTTGCATATGTTTGTGTGTAGATGTATATGCTGTGGTAGGCATCTGTGTTTAATAAGAAACTGAATTTGCCTGCAGTGCATAAACCATACTGATCTTAAGAAATAATTTCCTATTTGTGTCACTGTTTCCATTCTCTCATCTAGTCCATATTTTTACAGGGTATTTTCTAAACTCTCGATCTCACCAAGTTTTCATGCTGAAAATCTTTCATCCCCCCCGCCCCCCTCGCCCCAACACCCCTCAGGTTGCCTGTGGGATACTACCTGAACTCATTGGTTAACAGACCAAAGACATATTGCATCACATTGGTGGACTTGTCATTCTCCATCTTCACAAGCGCTTTGTTTAGCCTAGGCCAGTGATGGCGAACCTGTTGAGCTTGGCGTGTCAGCATTTCGAAAAACCTTAACTTAACTCTGGTGCTGTGTCACATATCGAAATTTTTTGATATTTGCAACCAGAGTAAAACGAAGATTTATATTTTTGATATTTATTTTATAGTTTTAAATGCCATTTAACAAAGAAAAATCAACCAAAAAAAATGAGTTCACGTGTCACCTCTGACACGCGTGTCATAGGTTCGCCATCACTGGCCTCGGCCCTCTCCCTTAACTACACTGACCTCCTTGTCCACCAAGGAGGTGCTTATCTATTCATCAAGATCAATGTCAGAGGCCATCTCTCCTTTAAACCTTCCTCTGGTGTCATTTATAATTTGTTGTGCACGTATCCCATTGTATTATTATTATTTATTCATATGTCTATATGAGTATCTCATCTAGTTGACTTAGCCTGAGAGTTCCTCCAAGACAAGGATTATATCTTAACCAACCTTTGCAAATCCAGTGACTGGCTCTGGGTCTGATATAAAGTAGATGTAGAGTGCAATGAATGTTTGTGGAGTAAATGCAATTTGAGGCCCTCAGCTTTCTTGGAACCATATACTCTAAAGTTAAAAATCTTTAACTCATTAGCTAAAATGCAAAAGGCATCAAGAGAGACTTAGAATAAAATTAAGTAATGGTACCTAGAAGCACAAGATAGTGGTCTTTATTTCTCTTTAACTGTGATAGGTGACCATAGTTGTATGCATGCTCGATCCAACAGATGGGAGGCAGCTTGAACCAGCATCAGTCCCAGCCCTCTGGGGTCCATTATTGTGGGTTATAGGGGGCACCATAAGCTACACAATAGGTTGCTTTGGAATCTTGAATTGAAAGGACTTGCAGGCGAGACCAAAAATCTAAGGAAGAGATTAAAGAAGTAGTGGGAGATAGTGAATCATTAAGAAAATGGAAACATTTATTTTACACAGTGGAAAGGGATCTATAGCGACTGTCCAGTAGCCGTGGAAAGCCCTTTTAGAAAACCACTGTGGGAAATAATGGTTTGACTCGGAAAAGAATTTGCTCTTGAAACAAAGAGAAAATAGGTTGAACCTTTTCAACTTTTATATGTCTTCTTTTTTCGTGGGGATGGGAACTTACCTAGGTCTGCAACCACCACTCCATCAGGCTCTCCTCGGACTTCCCAGCAAAACGTTTATAATCCTTCAGAAGGTTCTACGTGGAATCCCTTTGATGATGACAATTTCTCCAAACTCACAGCTGAAGAACTGCTAAATAAGGACTTTGCCAAGCTGGGGGAAGGTGAGTAATTGGTGTCTTTGTGATTCTTGAAACCTTATTCTAGAGGAGTATACATGTAAAAATGTAGAGTTGGAACCCTGGCTGGTGTGGCTAAGCAGATAGAGCATTGGCCCATGGACCGAAGGGTCTTGGGTTCATTCCTGGTCAAGGGCATGTACCTGGGTTGCAGGTTTGGGCCCCTGTCAGGGCACATGCGGGAGGCAACTGATCAGTGTTTCTTGCTCTCCCACTCCCTTCCATTCTCTCTAAAATCAGTGGCAAAAAATATCCTTGGGTGAGGACTAAAAAAAGAAAACACGTAGGATTGGGCCCCACAAAGGTTTGATTTTTTTTTATTTCTTTTTTTTTATTCAAGTATAGTTGGTATACAATCTTGTATTGGTTATATTAGTTTCAGGTGCACAATATAGTGATTTGACATTTTATACCTTACAATGTGATTTTGAAGTATGAGTACAAATCAATTTGTATTTTACTGGAGCACTGAAGTCTTCATCCTCAGGAAATCCTAGTCTCCTATAGGTGGTGGCAAGGAGAAGGGAAAACTTAGGAAAGATTGGATAGCATAGATTGGGATGAGAGTGTCTTGCATGGTCATTTCTTGTAGGAATATGATGGTTCCCTTGTCCTAAGGGGATTTATTGTCCCAGAAAATTATAACTGCTTAACCATGAGAGAGTACCCTCATAGAGAAACTGAATCTTTGACTATGATCAGAGTTTTATATTACTGAGGAGATCAAATAAATAGAAGGTGCCTTTCCGCTTACAAACCACAGTCTAATTTGGAAGGCAGGAGACACACATGCACACACACACTTTGGAAAACAACAATTCTACGGTATGATACAGTTCAAAGAGTATCTCAGGGTAAAGGAATGAACAGAACCAAGAGAATTTAGAGCAAACATTTGAACTATTTGACTAATAGTTTAACTGTTATTTTATAGATATCTTTTTAAAATTTGTATTGCTTTCTTGCCTTTTCAAACAGAAGATAGAGCATAGGATTTAACTTTCTTCGATGATTCATTGTCAAATTATTTCATTGTTATATGTGCCAGTTATTGTTCTCGACTATAAAAGAAATACCTTTAGGACTCTTGAAAACTATTGTATTTTTGCATTCAAGTAAGTGACCTGCCCAAGTTTTTAAATTTTTTTAAATAAGTTTTTTGTTGTTGGTGGTAGTTCTTTAAAATTGATTTTAGAGCAAGGAAGGGGGGGGAGAAGAGATAGAGAGAGAAAGAAACATTGATGTGTGAGAGAAACATCGATTGATTGCCTTCTGTACGTGCCCCAATCAGAGATCGAACCTGCAACCTGGGCATGTGCCCTGCTCGGGAATCCAACCCCCCACCTTTCGGTATACAAGACAATTCAAACCACCTGAGCCAGGCCTCAAGTTTTTTTTTAATTCTTGTGTCTATTTTGAATACTTTTCTGCCTCTCTTGATCGGCTCTTGGCTTTTACATGAAGCTGCTGCATTGTGCCTGTCCCTCACAGCCTCTCACTATTGCCATCTCCATCACTCCCTCTTCTCATTTGCTTTCTTAAACTGCCTGCAACAGATCATTAAACTCATTGCAATTATATAAAAACTAGGGGCCCAGTGCACGAATTCGTGCACTTTGAAAGGAACTGTGGGCCACAAGGCTGCAGTGGGCACAAGGGCGGGTCTCATCTTCCGTGCTTCCGCCTGGCCCCTCTTGCCCCCGTCCCTTGTCTGCTGGCAGCCCCACCAGCACTGCTTGCACCTGCTAGCTGTGTGGAGCGATTAGGGCAAGTGCCAGCAGCGGGTGCAAGAGGTGGCTGCCATCCAGATCACCCCTTAGAAGCAGGGAGCAGTGGAGAAGCCCGAAGGGGTGATTGGGACCGGCAGCCACTGCTTGTACCCGCTGATGGTGCCAAGCGATCAGGACCTGTGCCAGGTGCCAGCAGCAGGTGTGAGCACCCGGCGGGACCATGGTGCGTGGGAGCAAAGGGTTTTCAGTAACCACCAGAAGCTCGTCCTGATGACAGTGACCAGCGCCCCGCCTTGGTCTGGCGCCCCTCGCCCACCTGCTTCACCATCCTGCCGCAGCTGATGCTCGCCATGTTCCACATGTGCCCCCTGGTCAGCACACGTCACAGCGACCAGTTTTTCAGTTGTTCTATATATAAATAAATAGATTGAGTGAGGGCTGGAGGTATTCTATTTGAGTGATGTGCTTCGGCTTTGGGGCTTTGGCTCTAGCTCTCTCTTTTGCTGTTATTTATTTTTATTTTTAACTGGTAAAATGTACATAACAGAAATTACCATCTTAACCATTTTATATATATGTGTGTGTATGTATGTATATTTTATTGATTTCAGAAAGGAAGGGCGAGAGAGAGAGAAACATCAATGATGAGAGAGAACCATTGATTGGCTGCCTCCTGCATGACCCCTACTGGGGATCAAGCCTGCAACCTTGGCATGTGCCCCTGACTGGAATTGAACCCGGGACCCTTCAGTCTACAGGCCGACACTCTATCCACTGATCCAAACCGACTAGGGCTTAATCATTTTTAAGTGTACAGATCAGTAGTGTTAATTACATTTGCATTGTGTTGCAGCCACGCTTTCCCTCTTGCAAAACTGATGTGCTCTCTTTTTGATTCTTAAAACCTCCTTCCATTTCTCAGTTGTTCTCTCAGCTGCTGTAGTGACTACAGAAGGACCTCTGAATGGCTGAGGTGTCACCATAACACAGTAAAAAAGGAATGAAGTCTAGAAGTCAGTGCAGAAAGTGCACTGGGGATGTGCTCTGTGATTCTGCTGGCGTGAACTGATGGTGTTTTGTCCCTCCAGGCAAACATCCTGAGAAGCTTGGAGGCTCAGCTGAGAGTTTGATCCCAGGCTTTCAATCAACCCAAAGTGATGCTTTTGCCTCTTCTTCGTTTTCTGCTGGAAATGGTTAGTAGGGCAAGCACCTGAAACACAAACTCACACTGTTTTCCACTTCCCAGATAACTCTAGCATACCAATGAGCCCAAAATCCTGGTGGTAACTTAATATTTTCCTTTATTCCAGAGATTTCCAATAAAAAAGATAGGGATAAAGAAAGATGTAGAGTCACTTTCAATTAAAATGTCAGGATGATCTGGAAGTAATATATAGGATTTGTTCTCTCTAGTCCATGGACATGTTTTAAGCAAATATTTCTAAATTTGAGGAACATCACCCTGAGACTCTGCTGAGCTGTGTATTTTTTGTTTGTTTTGTTAATCCTCACCCAAGGATATTTTTTCCATTGATTTTTAGAGGTTGGAAGGGAAGGAAGGAAGGAAAGAAAGAGAAAGAAACAGCAATGTGAGAGAGACACACTGATTGGTTGCCTCCTGTATGGGCCCCAACTGGGTCTGGGGATCAAACCTGCAACCCAGGTACATGCCCTTGACTGGGAACTGAACCCATGACCCTTCAGTGTGCAGGCCAGTGCTCCAACCACTGAGCCACACCCGGCTGGGCACCACAAACTGAATATTAAAATCCATCGTAAAAAATGGTTAAGTAGAAACAAGGAGACCTGGGTTCTGATCCTAGGTCTGCTGACACACCTCTGGCTAATCTCTTCTTCTGGGCTTTATTTCCTTTTCTGAAAAATCAGAAAATTGTGCTAGAAAATCCTAAGATCTCTTCAAACTGTCATATCCCATAGGGTGCATAGATTTCTGTAAATCTGTAAGTTTGTCAACTATAGAATGAATGCCAGTAGTATGTAAGATGCAGTCTAGAGATTAGGGGTTGTCTAACCTTGCAGGAGGCAAGAAGTCTGTCTCCTCCTGTCTGTCTGCCTAGCACTATATTAGACATTTGGTGATACAACCTCAAGAGGGTAGTGGTTACATAGGAAGTACCTATATATGTGCTAGATTACTAAATAGATCATGTTTGTTTACATGCCATAATGTGCAATATGGACAGTAATTGCTGTATAAATTCTGAAAAAGATCACTGTGGGTTTCCACAAAGGGAAAAGTGGAATTTCAGATGTGTGCATATCCTAGTTTTGTCATTAATTACATCTTAGAGTATGTTGCAAGGACCAGATTATATATTTCATACATACTTTGCTGTTACACTGTATTATATCCACTCATCCCTTTTCTACCTCTGAGTTTAGACTTGTTCTCTAATTTGAGCTGTTGGGTTAGTAGATAGTAAGTTCATCTAGATTTACTTGATATTTTCTGCTTTTCTCTTTTTTCCCTCTCCTTGACCCTTCCTTCCCCTCCAACCAACTCCAGCTGAAAAAAAGAAGGGTGGGCAGACTGTGGATTCTAGCCTCCCACTTCTAAGCGTATCTGATCCTTTCATTCCTCTTCAAGTACCTGATGCACCAGGTAGGTAAATAGACCTGATCTGAGGTTAACCAGCTTGATTCTTATGTCCCAGGGTCTCTTGAGAGTTGGTTTTAAACACTCCATGAAAAGGATCTGAATTCCATATTAGTCCAATAATGATTATAACAATATGGGGGGAAGGCCTATAAGCATGTGATAAAAGGGACAAAATGTGAGTAGTGGTTATAGTATGATGAGTAGATAATGGGTGACTTACTTCCTGTCAAGTTTCTATTTTCCTGTAATATACTTTAATTTTATAATATGAAAATGCATAATAAAAGTTGATAGAAAGGGAAACCTGAGTTCCCTTTCTAGCTCTTCCACTACCTGAAAAGCTTCAGGCTTGACTGTTCATCAGTGGAGTGAAATGGACTGCATGAATTCAAATGTCCCTTTAAATCTACCATATCCTGATTTTTAAGTGAGCAGTCCAAAAAAAGAAGAAATGGTTAGTGTGTTCTGATTGAAACAGCTTTTGAAACATAATTTGCAGTTTCTGAATGCCAAAGATTTCCTTTCCTGCTCTCCTCCCCATCCTTTTGGGGAGGGGCGGGGGTGGGAGAAGCGTGATGGGAGGAACAGAAGCCGCTTTTTCTCATCTCTATCAGTGTCTTTGAAAAAGCAAACAGATCCAGCTCCTTCAAAGCATCTGGTGGTCGTTTTGCTTCTGATAGTTTTCCTTTTCTCCAGTGTTTACCCTTGCTGATTCTTGGTCTTAAACTGATAGGATCTGGCTGGTTCCCCCCCCCCCCCCA